AAAGCATTGCTTGATCTGGGGTGCGAACGTTATGAGTTCCTCAAAGGAGTGGACGACGAGAGTTGCCTCAAAGGTTTGCTTGAGCTGAGTGAGAATGAGACGGTAGAGTGAAGTACAGATGATGGAGATCCATTGAGATGTAGAAGACGCAGAGGTACCACGATATGGGCACAGATCCAGATTGATGGAGTGTTTCATCTTGAGTGATGTGAGGGCTCTTTTGATATCCTCCATGCTGATACCCTTGAAATAGTCATCCTTTGATACCTTCTCTTCAAACAAGCGCTCGTCGAAGTGGCCTTGGCTCAGCGCTCTGATGAAGTTATAGCCCATGAAAGACTTCCCTGACCCCCACTCAGCAGACACACTCAAGGCTACATTCACAAACAGTTGATGAACTCAAAGTGATATAAACAAAAATAATATCTTGTCTAATTACATACAATGACTAGAACTACGAGAATGATTGGTAACAGATTGACCAACCAGTTAGTAGAGGTGATCAAATACACTGGTAACTACACCAGAGAGCAGATCGAACGGATGGCCCAGAAGTACAGTAATAGCCTCAATAGACATGGCGCCAACGCAAGGATTGAGGTAGTCTTAGAGTACCCAAAGAAGTTGTTCCGATCGGGCAAGTTCACCAAGGTAGGTCGACCAATCATCATGTTCGATCCACATGACTACGATGGTGCTCCAGTGGAAGAAGTGGATACATTCAAATCATCTGTATCAGCATTCCATTCCTTTGTTGAATACTTTGTCTTTGAGATTGTCACACAATGATCTTTTAAAAAAAAGTTTCTTTTTACAATCTTCCCAAGAAAATGTTATTAATTTTTCCCCACTTTTCTTGGGACTGATGTACATCACAACCAACAATTGAGTCTTCAACTTGATAAAATATTGTTGGATGTATTTGGTCACATTGGCCCAATCACTTTCCTGTTTACATTGATCTACAAGCAACTTAATTGTAGCAAGATTAAAAGGTTCAGGGTTGGTTCCAAAATGTACTATCGATGTTTGTTTCTCCTTGGCTTTTTGTAATAGAACCAATTGTTCGTTAATACTCTTCTGTATCTCCTCTGCTGTTTGTTCCTTCTTTGCCATTATATATTTATTAGAAAGATAATAATTCTTTATATCACTTACTTTCATTCCTTCAAAATTGAGTTTTGTTTGTTAGTTCCAGAGAGCACTGAAACATCATTCAAGACAGAATAAAGAAGTTATGTTGAAAGTTCCAGAACCCATTATTATTATTATTTTTACTTTTCCATTATTTCTATTAACTTAATTAACTTATTAACTATAATAATTAAATTATAATATAAGAGATTTAACAGAGCATTGAAACTTTACTTTTCCATTATTTCTATTAACTTAATTAACTTATTAACTATAATAATAAAAATATAATATAAGAGATTTAACAGAGCATTGACAGAATTGAAACTACATATAGTGAGAAATGCAGTCGCGATAGCGACTTAATGTGAGCGCCAGCGACAAAGCAGCGCCAGCACACGAGCCATCCACACACCTCAATGAGTTTATTAATAAATAGTTCGTTGGCCTGATCACTCTAGTGATGAGAGTGATGAGGTGGATGATGATTGCACTTGGTCTGAAGAGGTGGTTGAGTGATGGAGGCTGGTCGCCTCAATCATACTCTGGCTGCGCGTCCTGGTGAATACTGGTGCTTGCAATGTTTGTAGTACTGCTTGTTTGCGTCCATTGTCATGATCGCCAGGTTTGGTAGGTGATGACTCGTCGTCTGATGGCGAGGCACTGATGTTTAGTACGACGTTGCCTGCGGTCACCGTTCGTGGTGACTTGGGTGGTGTTGGCGAGCAGCTGCTTAGACAGTAGGTGGTTGCTGTCTCTAGGTTGGCGATGGCGTCAAACACTTGCTCCTCTGTCACGGGCGTGTAGTTGAGCTGCATCTTTCTCTCGGTGCGACCCAGTCCAACATTGTTGCTCGTCACTCCAAGGGTTGTGGTAGTCGTTGATGTCGATGTGGATGATGTTGTCGAGTTGGGATCTGGGGTGTGGAGTGAGATGAGAGGATAGGCCATGCTCTTGGGTCTCGAGACGATGGAGAGTGGCGACAGTGTGTTGGGTGAGATGGTCATTGGCGTGACAAAGATTGGCGAGATGGTGTTGGGAGTCAGGGTGTTTGGCGAGCTGCTGGTGCCCAGTTTGAAGGGCACTGGCGAAGTCCTCTCATTGGCATGGGATTTGGGATTTGGCGAGACACTCGGTGACTCGTCAGAGGCCCCAGTCTCTTTGTTGCCAGCCCGTTTAGAGGCCGACAACGAGGAGCTGGACGAGTTGGCGAGTGGCGAGGTGCTGGGCTTGGGTCTGCCCTTGAGGAAGTGCGCGATAGTCGAGATTGCGTTGTTCGTCTGTACGTTGCGTGGCGGTTCAATCTTGATCTTGAGAGATGCCAGTACATCTGCCGGCATGGCAGTGCGTGGATAAAGCACGGTGGGTGTAGGTGGGAAGAAGGTCTCGGGCCTGGTGCCATGTGTAAAGCCAAGAGGCAGGCGGTTCGGATGGTACTTGCGGGTATCATTGTAGTACAGGTTGCCATTGTTGACCAGCGCCGTGTTGAGGCGAGCCAACAGAATATAGTAATCCATACGGCGGGTAGTGCTGTCTGTGGCAACGATCAGTCGCTCAAAGTCGTGTCGTGGATATACCATCGAGTGCAGACGTGGTAGCCAAGTTGTCAGTGGGATGGATGGTGACTCCTTGATGATAGACTTGCCAATCTCGGTGAGGGCCGTCAGAATGTGGTTCCAACCGACGTTGGTCATGTCGTTGGAGTCGATATTGATCGTGAGCAGACTCCTGTTGCTCATGAGTGCCGTGCTGAGCAGCGCGGCACCTTGGTCGCCCAGAGCATTGTTGGATAGGTTGAGCGAGGTGATTGCCGAGTTCTTTGCAAAGCAACCGAGCAGCATCATGATCTCGCCACGACCAATGTTCGCCAGACTTAGTGTGCGCAACGATGGATTCATGTAGATCTTCTGGAGACTCTTGGTGAATAATGCGCTGAACGGTTGATTATTACTAAGGCCGGCAGCGGCGTCCACAAACACATGCTCCAGGGGTGGCACGTTGGTGGAGCCAGGGGTGTCGTCGTCTTCTTTGGACGTCGAGTCGGAGCCCGACTCATCGCTCGGGTCGTTCAAATCGAAGCTGGTCGACAGGTTGAACACCAGCCTGTTATTTACAATGTTACCAGAGGGTGGCGCACCATTTGGCGTTGAGCCACTGCTGCTGTTGTTTCCACCAAAGCCGCCAAATGTTGGTATGTTGGCGCCTCCACCGCTGCCCATAGAACTTGCGCCCATCAGCCGACTCTCCTTGTCCTTGTCCACTTCTGGTGCAGACTCGTCAGACTGAGTCAGCGCGCTGGCCACTGCGAGCCCGTCCAAGATGAGCTCGTTCACCTTGACGTCAGCCAACACCTGGAGCAACGAGAGGATTGTCTTTCTCGGTGCCGCGCAGCTGCTTTAGGTTCAGTCGCTTGATTGAGTTCTCAGACTCGCGGAACAGACACAGGGCGTCCAAGAAGTCTTCGTAGCTCTCGTCGGCGGTGGTCAGGGTCATGCCCATAAGCTCGAGATGCACAGACACCTTCTTCTCAGACATCTTGATCAGTATGACTGCCGCCACCATCTTACTGATGTGGCAGTTGTTGCACTCTAGGCGGTAGAGTGTCTGTGTGGACAGGACCGCCAGCAGCTTCTCGAGGTCACCACCCAGCTCCAGCTTGTTGTTACTGACGTCAAGGTGCTCCAGACGCGCCAGATGCCTCAGCGAGTAGAAGCTGTACGCCGAGATGCCTGTGCCGTTGAGCAGGAGATGCTTCAGCTTGGAGTGGCCCTGCGACTTGATGATCCAGCTGGCAAAGGCGGCGTTGGTCTGCTCGTCAAACTTGTTGTTGGAGACGTTGAGCAGCTCGATCGTGAGTGACATGCCAAAGTTGCGCTCGAGCGCCTCAAACAGCAGCGACAGCTGCTTGGGTGGGATGTTGCAGTTGGACAGATCGAGATGTATGAGTGCGTGTTGGTACTGCATCATGCAGGCGATGAGCGATGTCGTCGCCTTGTTGGACAGGGGGTCGTCCGACACGTCCAGAATCTGGATGGCGCTGCGCTTGTTGAGCGACAGCGACAGGAACAGGTGGTGCATCGCCTCGTTGACGCAGTGCTTGGCCGACAGACGTTTGAGATGCGAGTTGTGCAGCACGGTGGCGGCTAGCGCCTTCATTGTGGCATCCTTCTTGATGTCGCGCACTGTCAGGCCAATAAAGTAATGGTCGTGCATCAGCGCGTTGAACAGGGGGATGAGGTCGTAGTCAATGTCAGAGAACTCTGACACCTGAACATTGTCGCCGGTGAGGTCAAGCTCGCGATTTCCATCCGCGTACAACTTGGCCAGCAGTCCAGTGATCGTTGGGTTTGGCGTCGACAGATAGTAACTGCACCATCCACGATAAGAGTCCATGAATGTGTCAATAGTGTATGATGTTGATGATGAAGTTGTATCATTGCCATTTGAAGTGCCATTGTTGTTGGCGCCGTTGCCACCTGTACCACGTTGTAATAGACCAACATTGGACTTGATAGTGATAGTGAGTTCAGCTGCACAATGATCTCCATGCTGTATCTGCTTCAATCTTCGCACGGCCACAAACAGTTGTTCCAAACACTCTGTCTTGACCTTTAGCTTGGACTTTTGCTTTCCTCTCTGTAATACAATTGCGAGCTAATTGATTGGGCATGTCAGTGTCAGTGACTGCACGCGCGCGCGGGTGTCATCTACTGGTCAGTACATACTACATTGTCGACCTTGTTTATCAACTGTTTAATATCATAGACGTGGTAGATCTTTGGTGCCTTGCGCGTCATGTCCTTGCCCTCGGAGAAGAGTATAAGATGATAGCTTGTCAGAGCCAAGATTGAAGAGGACCACTTAAGATCTGACTTCTTCTTGGTCATGACATATCCTCTGAATTGTAAGCTCTCGGCCCATTGTGAATACTTGCTCTGTATCCATTCTTCAATGTAATCTATATCCATTCATTGTTTGATTGATTGAGTTAGCTTTGAACATTCATTTTCCGACTTTGACGCGAAGTCAATCGCACGACATACTATGCTCGAAAGTTGATAGTTCTAGATGATTGACCATAATGACCTGCCTACTCGCTCAATGGTCTTGTGTAATATATTATATTATTCCTACTTTATCTCAACCCTCTCCAACAAAATGTTATATTAATTGATTAACTAACTAACTAACTGTCAACTTATTATTACAATTATTATTATGATGCAATTAATGGATTGATTGATTGTTTGATTGATTGATTGATTGATGGGTGGTTGATGATGCTGTTGTTAGATGTGTATGTGATGATGTTGCAGATGGAGTAGAGTAGAATAGAATTGAGCAGATCGCAATGAGAGTGAAGGAAGGATGGATGGATGGATGGATGGATAAAGTGAAGGTGGTTGGAAAGGTGCTCGTTGCGCGGGAATACTTTGGGAGTGTGTGTGAATGGTAGTGATGGAGTGAAGTGTGTCGGAGAGTGGACCAAGGGTGGGGGTGGGCTTGATTGATTGATTATTAAGATAAGGTGGTAGTGGCTGATTGATTGTTTAAAGAGTTGATGTTAATCAATCAAGTGTGTGAACGATCGATGTTCGTTTGTTGGTGTATTATACTAATGTGACAACAAGTGAAGTGATGGGTGAATGGTTTGATTGATTGATTGATTGATTGATGGATGAGCTGTGCTTTTTAAAAATGATGCTGCCTTTGTTGTTGTCGATTATGATTTAAGTTGTTATTAGTATCGGTCTATAAATAATATCACTGATAATTATGATTATTAATTAAATATATTATCTGTAAGTAGTTGTTGTTGAGTCTGCAGTTTGGAATGCTATCAAGAACTGATAGATGATGATCAGGACCCTGTTTAGATAGCCACACACTTATCATCCTTCCAGAGGTCCAAGATGCACCATTTGGTGCGTGGGGGAACAGAGATTTGTCATTCGATCACATTCGTGTGTGTGAAAGTTCAAGTAGAGGCTAATTTTGAACTGATCGCACAAACAGCACTGTTTCCGATCAAAAGACAGATGTAAACCTTGGATGTTGACCATTCCAATGTTCCCATGATCTTGAGTGTGTCTGTTCACTACGACGACGACACAACACCAACAAGTCCAAAGGAGTCCAACGATAATGTCTATTTATGTATATGATCATCTTGATCTATATTTAGATACAAAAAGGAATGATCCCTTACTTGACCGTTGTATGTTGAAGTCTTTATGACCATGTCAAAGAGAGGAGATAGATGCCGCGAGAGAGGAAAGAGATTCAGTGAGGGAAGAGAGAGACACTCTAAGAGTGCACCTGGAGGCTGCCTTGGAAGTCATCCGCAATGCCGGATTACCTCCTCCTCCACATCACAATGATTGAAATTCTGCCAACCAAATACGTCGTAGCAATATAAATAAAGAATGTCTATCTAATGGACTTCTTCTGCGCTAATGTATATTATTAAGGGACTATTTAGTACAACATCTTATCAAACTTGTCCAACCAACCAGAGAGGAATGACAAGTCCTTCTTAAATACGAGCATTCCACAGATGAATGTAAATCCAGCCAGACTTAGCCATTTGTTGCCAGTGCCAGCGCCAGGCTGGGGCTGTGGCTTTGAGGAGGCCAAAGGCACCAGTGAAGCAGATGAAGTTGGAACTGCATCATAGCGACTGACATCGACCTTCCAAATATCTGTGAGGGCAGGGTCCACACCCTGCGCCGCCAGCAAGCCCGATGTGATGCCGTCCTCGTGGAAGCCAAAGCCGCTGTAGGCGCCGCAGTAAAAGGTGCGACGCACGCCCTGGATCGATGCCAGCAGCTGGCGATTGTTCTCATTCTGGCTGGTGAATAGTGGATGCTCGTAGTGAATCACCTTGTGCACGAGCTCTGGCGCTGGCTGCACAATGGGGTTGAGCGTGACGTAGAGTGGCGTGGTGGTGGCATCGAGCCAAGGCTGGATACGGTTGATCCAGTATGTGACGCAGACGGCGTTCTCTGTGCTCGACGCGTCATCGTAGAGGTAGTTCCAGCTGGCCCAGATGGCGCGACGCTTGGGCATCAGACGCGCGTCAGAGTGCAGATAGACAGTGTGTGGCGTGTACTCAAACAGTGAGAGGACGTCGTGCTCGTTCTTGGTGATCGCGTCCACGATGGACAGTGCCTCGGGTGGGTGGCACGCCATCACAACATAGTCGTAGCGCTCTGGTGTCGGTGAGTCAGTCACGGTGATGTCTACATAGTCGTCGGTTCGCATCACGCTGTTGACCTCCTGGCACAGTCGCACCTCGCAGCCCTCGTACGCCACGATTCGCTCGCGCAGTCGCTCCATGTACAGATAGCTGCCACCACGCACCGTCTTCCATTGTGGTCGTCCAAAGATACGGAACATGTCGTGATTGGCAAAGAAGCGCGCCAGTGTAAGGATCGGGAACTGATCGAGTGTCGCCGAGAATGATGTGGACCACAGCGCAGACATGACTGGCACGAGGTAGTAGTTCTTGAAAGCCTCCGAGTAGTTGTTCATCTTGAGGTACTCGCCAATTGTGATGGCGTTGTACTTCTCGGGCTCGAGCATCGTGAGCGGGCCCTCGCGATGGAAGCGCGCCATGTCTGTGAGCATACGCCAGAACGACGGACGGAAGATGTTGCTCAGCTGCGCAAATACAGTCTTGGCGCCATCCGAGCCCCACTCGACCTCGCCACGCGAGCTCTGCGACGCGCCATCTTGGCTGCCGCGGGCGTTAAGCGAGTAGGCAAAACTGACGTCAGAGTCTGCAGACTCGATGCCCAGCTCGCGGAACAGTCGCATCAAGTTGGGATACTTCTCTTCGTTGTAGACGAGGAAGCCTGTGTCTGCCTTGACCGTTCCAACGCCCTCGAATGTCGCATCCACCGTATTAGTATGTCCTCCTAGATAGTCGCCCTTCTCATACACCGTGACCTGATGTCCACCCTGTGCCAGCAAGTATGCTGCCGACATTCCAGATATGCCTGCTCCTACAACTGCGATCTTCATTATTCAAAGTATATATGTATGTATGTAATGTATGTATTGTATGTATCTTTGTAAGTTGTAAAGTTGATGATGTTGTACACGTGTAATTACCAAGTCATTAAGTCATTCATTCATTGCAATCAATGTCCTGATTGTGTGGTCTTTGGTGGACCCTGCATCAGAGTGGGGTTGGGAGCGCGCATAGGAACACGAAGGAAATACGTCGTGATGGGGTGGGCTGAGGACCAGGCAATGACCAAGATGATCTGATGGGGTGAATAATCAGCCAGTCAGAGTGCGGGTAACCAATCAAAAAAGTCACTCATTGCCTTGGACTTTGCAAAAAAATCATAACATCGCTCCACATACAGTTAATGGATAACCATGACGAATGAATCACGCAGAGAGGGCATGATCGAGATTCTCAAGTGTGTGTCGTGGGCCGACCTCCCCAATCAATGGTGTCTGTCTCTCTCTCACCCCCCCTAGACGCGACAGATTGAATGGATGAATGAAGAAATGAAGGAATGGACGTAGAAAACACAAAGAGACTGTGGACAAGGCAAATGAAGAATGAAGATCAGCTGGTGGATGCAAAAATCTCAACGTGTGCCTCCTCGCAACGATGGCTGGCCTGGATCTTGATTCGCTCATTGCCACCACACCAATGTCAATAATATGCCGGCCCAACTTTCTGTCTGTTGTCCCTAGATGCCAGCCAATAGTTTTACTCCGTCATCACCCAAGGACAACAAACAACAAACGTCAACCACCGTCGTCGTAGTCTCCACCAATCCGATTTATAGCGGGAGTAGAATGTTGGGTGATTGGTCTTGACTCGCCTCGCGAAGTGTTTAAATGAGTGAGTGAGGGTGGATTGATTGATTGATTGAGTGACACTCACTCCACCCCAACACCTTGCAGCGACAATCAAACAAACAAACCGCGCCCAATACTAAGAGGAGAGAGGGCTTGCCTCAATGGGAAAGAGAAAGGAAGGACTTCTCTTCCTAATTATTTTATAAAGTAGGTTCCTAAGTCCTGTCTCTTCACCTGATCCCTGCTCAATGATCAATCCAACATGTCAATCCTCATTGCTCATTCCTAAAAAGTCACACTCTAACTTACCTCCTATCTATCTCTTTGTAGTTATACATACATATATAAATATAAATCTCATCTCATTCAATCAATCAAAGAACATACATCACCAAAGACAAGACAAGATAACATCAAACCACATCACACACGCACAACACGATCACCCAATCAAGTGATTGATCAAAACAGGACCCGTAGCCAGTGCCACTGTTTGATCACCCCCCAATCTCAAAATATCATTAAGTTCAGCCATTGTTACACTGAGCCAAAGCCAACCCGCCGGGGCCATTGCACATCACCTTCCATTACCTAATCATCACCATCTCCAATCGCCATCTACACATCTGTCTGTCCACATTCTATTCATTCTCCTTAACTGTTACTACTACTACTACCACTCTACTACTACTACTACTACTACTACTACTACTA